GGAGAACTTTTTCTTAGATCATAAAGTTACTAAGAATATTAAAGTTATTGATACGTCATTCTGCAGCTATATCGGATTATGACGTCAAAAGCAACGAATTAAGCGTGAATTTTTCCGACAATACTCGTCGGAATAAATAAGTTCTTTTTTCACGACATATTTGCAATGACTATTCACAAGTTAAAAATAGCTATAGTTATCGACTTCTTATAGTTTACTTATTTACTTATTTTATCAAAACAATTTTATTTATGTTTTAATATATATTCCAAAAAATAATTGCATATATTTTTTATTTATTTACTTCTGACACTATAAATCAATATTATTGCAATGATAGAATAATTTGCAATCAGGGCAATAATTCAGAAAAAGCAAAAATTTATAATTTCAATAAAGTGTTTAATTTTTAACTGGACATAAAAAATTTTTCGATATATTTTTAATTTATTAATATTTTCGAAACAAAATTTGCCATTCGACTAAATATAAATAAAGACGCAAATATATCTGCTATTTTTAGCGAGTTAAGTAGATGCTTTGCGTCATACATATACATATTTTTGTCCTGGGGAAGTGAAGCAAGTATGAAGTGTCGCCACTCAAGCTATAATAGATAATTGGCAAATCGATTTTTTCTTCATGTAAGTCATGTAGCAGAGGAAAGCTTTATATACTAATTGAATCTTTGTAAAAAAATTGAGTTATCATTTATAATCGTTAACATTTTTATCATTATTTACACAAATAATCATTATTTGTAACGAAACAGTAACTATTCAGGTAGAAATTTCCCTCGATCTTCCCTGAATATATACGAGTCCCGCATGGGAAATATTAGCTTGAAAAATCCAGACGGGTCCTAGCTATAAATTTTCCACGATTTTTCCCAGATTTTGGTTAAAAAATATCTATCTGTATTTTTTCCTGGATCTGACCGGGTCCGATCAGGGAAAAACCAGTTTTTCTATTCTGAATTTTCAGGTTATTTTAACGTTTGTTAAATATTTTACGGCTCAAAATAGTAACACCTTAGAGCATATCAAAGAGTTTTACGGTTCGAAATAAAAGAAAAAACGGTTTGAAACGTACAAAATGTGTGATCGCATTCGCGGCTTCTCGTTTACTGTTAAGGAAGCGAAAATATCGGACGAGGAAAAAATTAGAAACAAAAATAGTGAACATCAAAACTGAAAGTGACACGAGTGACGAAAGTGACTTGATAAAAAACAAGTATTCGCGATCTAACAGTAATGAAGATACTGATAATGCTGTAAATGAGAATGTCTATCATGTACGCGACGAAGAGGAAACTGATGGCCTGGAAATATTTATGGAAAATAACAATTCAGAGCTCGAAGATGATATGTCAGATCCAAAAAGAGAAATCAAAAATTCAGAGCTTGAAGATGATATATTAGAATCAAAAAGAGAAATCGATGAATGCAATTAAGGTCACAATAATGAGGACGAAATGGCTAATCAAATGGAAAAATTACGTCAGTGGATTGTAACCAACCAAATTCCACACAATCAAGCAGATGAATTGCTGGATATTTTACGATCTAGATTAATGCCACTTTTATCCAAATCTACAAAAACGTTTATAGGAACGTCATCCGCAAAATACAATATCGAACCGATGCAGGATTCGGATGGCTCTACAGGAGAATTTGTTCATCTGGGCATAAAAAAAACCTTATTAAGTACATTAATCCAGAAGTACACACCAATAACATAATACATTTACAATTTAACATTGACGGCATATCGCTCTTTAAATCATTCGCTAAAGAGTTTTGGCCAATTTTAGGTCGTATACATTTTACGCCAATGATATACGATCCGTTTCCTGTTGCCATATATTCTGGAAATTCAAAGCCCAAATAATTGTCAAAATATTTGCAGAAATTTATTCAAGAAATAAATACGTTGCAAGTAGAAGGATTTGACGTGGAAAATAAACACTATGCAATCAAAGTGAAATGTTTCATCTGTAATACACCGGCCAGATCGTTTCTGAAGAGCATTTCTAGTCATACTGGATTTCACTGTTGCGAAAGGTGTACCGTTATTGGCAAAAAAGTGAATAAGGTGACAGTTTTTCCGAGTGTTCGACAGTTCGAAAAGAACCGATGAATCGTTTCGAAGTTTCACGCATTCACTCCATCATACAAATGTCACACCTTTATTGCTCATCGATCCACCAATTAACATGATTGATTGTTTTGTATTGGATTTTATGCACTTATGCTGCCTTGGTGTCATAAAACGTCTTCTCGAATATTGGACCTCTAACAAAAATGCTAAATTTAGTCATGCGTTCAAAATGAAATTAAGTCGCAGCTTGGAAAGTATACGTCAATGCCTTGTGATTTTCAGAGGAAGCCGAGAGAGTTAAATAGTTTAGCTAAGTGGAAAGCGACCGAATATATGTTATTTCTATTATACATCGGTCCAATAGTCTAGAAAGACCTTTTAAACAAAAGCCAATACGACAACTTCTTACTATTCCATATGGCTTGTTGGTTACTTTGCACAGAAAGTACCGCCAACACGTACAGTGATAATGCGAAAAAATATTTGAAAGCATTTTACTTATCATCACAAGAAATTTATGGTGAAGATTTTGCAGTTATCAATGTGCATAATTTGATACATTTGACTGATGATGCAAAGAATATGAATAGCAGCTTAATAAATATTAGTGCATTTGCATTTGAAAATTGTTTGGAAAAAATTTAAAAAATGATCCATTCGCCTTATCGGCCATTAGCCCAAGTTTGTCGACGACTACATGAGAAAAAATATTTACAAAATATGAAACTTACAGTATCAAACTCAGTTGAATATTGTCACGAAGGCGAATATATTTCAAATCTCAAATATAAAGGCACATTGTTAACAACAAAGTCGCCGAATGACGTGGTCTTATTGAATGACGATTCTATGTTAAAGATTACAGAATTTGGTATGACACAAGAGAACAAATTATACCTGAAAGGCAAAAAACTGAAAAAAAAAAAGTATTTATGAGTATCCATCAAATTTGAGCGTTACACACACGTGGGAAACAGAAATCGAAATCTCTGAAATTACGATAACTAGACCGATAAGTTTTATAAAAAGTAAAACTGTTTATTTACGTTTAAAATTTCATCAAGAATCCCCAAATAATAGATGTTTTGTACTAAGTTACTTGCATTCAACATAATCAAAGTTAACTTTATAACTTTTATAACCTTCTCTTCATCATTCAATTATACTCTCACCAAGCAAAAAGGTATTTGTAATACACATACGGTTATTATATTTTATTTCAAAAATCCAAGAACATAATTTTTGTGTTTTAGCTAACATATACATGGCATTTCGTATTCGATTATTGTTTGTACATAGAATTCACAAAATATCCCGTAAACACAACGATGTAATAGTTGGATTCAGCGATCGATTCTGATCGACACACAACCCTAACCTAACCTAAAGTTTGAATCGATTTTCATGAACAACTCAATCGATACATACATGTTTTTAATGGCTACCTTAGACCTGCGCCCGGCATCGATTGTTAAACAAAAGAAAGTCGAAAAAAGTAAAAAACAGAAGGAAAATCCTTTTGTCTTGTTGTGTTGTGCAAGATACAGGAAAAACAACGAACAAGAAAAAGTATTCACGTATTTATATAGACGACAATTTAAAAATATAATGTACAATTCCTGAAAAACGCGCTTTAAAAATGTAATCGAAAGTCTTTGAAAATCAAAATACATTTGTCGAAAAGATTTGTCGGAATTTGTCTGAAAAATAGACGAAATGATAGATTCCGACAAATTCTGACAATTTTCGGACAATTTCACATAAATTTTGTTACAGAATTGGAAAACTGTCGGAAATTGTTCAAAGTCAGACTATTTCGCATGGAGGATAGAAAGGTTAGATCAGGTTAAAAATGTTACAATTTCGAGATTTTCTAAATTTTAATCACAGTAAATTGCTGAAATATTTTTCATCTTTTAGAGACTTTCGATTAATGTAATTGTATGAAACAAAAATAAACACGGAATGCAGTCTAAAACTTCACTCATTGCAGACAACCCATAAGAAAATAATAATTTCATTACTTTAAAGTTAATATTCTTGTCTCATTTTCTTGTTGTGAAGATGAGCAACTGTTCGGACGATGATTTTGATGAATACATATACCAAATCGTAGAATTCGTGAAAAGAGGCCGACCATCCATCAGAACCATTGACATTGTTCCCATGAAATGGATAAACTTTAACAAAAAACACTGCTATATCGAGGCAAACTATAAACCCCCTCCATATACAGAGGAAGACTTTGATGAAATACAAAAAATGGTCGAAAATATTGTGGACGCCCCAGAGGAATGGCCTGTATATAGAGTGAAGATAGTAGCTCGAGGAAGTAAGTATATGTATGTACAAGTACCTTTAATAATTAGGTTGGATAATAATATGATATAAATAATTAAGCCTCTAAAAGCGATTCGACTTTTCGCTGGATCCGACGCAACTACCTCTTAGCAAGTTGGTATTAATTACTCGCTCATTGAGGCATTGCAGTGCAACATTTTTTTCTGTGTACTACTACGTGAATAATTTATTTTGCAAAGTATTCTCCAAAATTTTTCAAATTTTCGAAATTATCAAAATTTGCAGAATATAAAGTTTTAAAATTTGCAAAATTTAAACGAAATTATTTACGTATAAATTTATACATAATTTAAAAGAACTATAACTATATACCATATAAATTAACATTTGTCATTCTGAAATTTTTATAGAAACATATATTGACGCCCTCAAAAAGCTCAAATTACTAAGCGATAAAAGATTCGCTTTCACATCCGAATCGGACATTAAACCCGGGCAAAAGTCAGCCTTGATTGAAGAAAATTTCAAATCCAAGGTCCTTCAAAAAAATTTCGACGTATGAAAAGAATTGATGACTGTCAAACGGATTTCTAACAATCAAAAGAATATTTCCAATGGTAGATGACTTTTCATTTATTGTATGATAGATTTATTTTTATTTATAAATGTTTATAAACTGATTTTATTATGTTTTTATAGGTGTCACTTGTAAAAGCGGACAGAAAAGAAAGAACGAAATCAATCTGTCGATACAACCGAAACCTAAACAGCTGAAATCAGGTTCGTATTGCAAGTATACAAAATATTTTCATAAACTATGATTGTAAATACATAAGTATTTAAAAAATATGTATATTAATATATTTAAATAAATTTCATATTTGTAGCATCATCTTGTAATGACAAACCAAGTGTAGTATATTTTTCAGACGAAAACACAGAGCATTAATCAAGTAAATTGGAATCAAATTAATAACAAACTTAACTGAAACATATGTTTCTGACTAGACTTCATTCCTGTATTTTAATGTAAAAACATCAGTTTACTAATCAATTCTATATATTTCAGATGCAAAGAATGATGATCCGTATTTAAATGTCAAAGGTATTATAAACTGTTCTAAATAAAGTATGTTTTTACTTTTTATTAAAAGTGATTTTTTTCTCTTACAGATCGGCAATCTACTTCAATTATTGTAGATGTGTTAGCCTCAACGATTGATAACGCTTCACGTGGCAAAATAATTGATGTAACGGGGAAAACTTGGACGCTAATAAAGCAAATAAATGGTGAGGATGCAAGAATTAAAACATATTACGGATGTATATTCATATATTATATAAATAATATAAAATTTAATATTTATTTTAATAATTCCATAGATAATAAGGCGGATCCGCAATTGGATAATATTCAATCGAAAAAAAAAGACAACTCCAGGGAGGGTCAATACAAAATTAGATAATCTGAAGACTTTAAACGTTTCCTCTATAAATTATCTCCAACTCATGAAAATGCTGGAAGGAATTGTTGTAACCCTTGAAGTCTTGGCAAATCAAGGCCTCATTCTAAATGTACTTGAAGCGTCAGCATTTACATAAAACGGGATTGCTTATTTGGGAAGGTTCGAAGACAAATATAATTTTGATCTATCTTTCAAGTCGGTAGAAGAGTTCCAAAACTTTGATGTACAATTGAAGGACCCTACTTGTCTCAAGGATTTTGTAAGTGCATTTATAAAATTGATTCCTATTTATTTGTACGACTAATAAATTTATTTTCAATTGCAGATGGCGTCCTTATTTTGTTTAATAGATAGTTGTAGACAATATACAAAAACTATTAACAACGTTTTAAAAAAATATGTCTCGGGACGTTGCACTGAAATATACTGCACAAAAATAATGTGCAGATAAATTTATCCTAAAGGGAACAATTTTTTGTAAATGTTGATACGTAAAATATTTCAAAATATTACTACATACATATATTATACATATGAGTTAACTTTTTTCAAGAGAATTTTGTAATGTATTAATATAATAAACGATTATAATATTTTAGACGTGGTGCTAAGTAAGCACACCAATGAAAATAATTCACAACTTACTGAGAAGGAAGTCTTATCCAGCTTGGGTACATGCGTAACCAATGCTAAGGATTGGGACGGATTTCGTGTGAAGCGAAATAAGCAGTAAAGTTATTATTTTTAACGAATCGCTTTTTATTTCATATTTATATAGGTGTAGTAATTTATGCTTATTACTTGCAATTCTACAAGGAAGAAAACTATAAACCCAAAGAGGACTTCCGTTTCCGGCGCAGTAGCGAGAGGCACGTGGTGATTGAGCGTGAGTGAGTGACGGAAAGGAGAGAGTGTGTGGAAGGAGAGGAAAGGTAGGAGTGTGTGGAGGAGAGAGTGGAGGTGTGAGTGAGAGCGTGTGAATGAGGTGGGCATAGGGAAGGGCAGGATAGAAGGGAAAAAGGGCCCAGAGTATAGAGTGACAGGTGGGCAGGTGGGCTGGCATAGACTACGGCGTGTAAAGAGAGGAAGAGGTGGTGCGAGTGGGCAGGGATGGATGGTAAGGCGCGATCTGGCGGGATAGAAAAGAGGAAGGCAAGGGAAAGATGCATGAGCCTGGGAATGTTGAGGAAATGTTTAAGAGGAAGAGGGAAAAATCAGGGGAGAGAAGGAAGGAGGAGGAGGAGGAGGAATTTAGGAAGAGTAGGAAAACGCAGAGATCGC